TTGCAAAATCAGGCAATTGAAGGAGGCAATGAACAATCGCCTTGTTTAACAATGAAAATTCCTGTCCTAATTGTGTTGTAAATTGAGGGCTACCCTACCTTTTCAATTAACCATTGCAATGAGCTAAAAAAACCACTGTATTTCCAAGGCATCCTTCAGCAGCTCTTTTCCTGACCACCAAGAGGCGCCGGTTTTATCCTATTGGGGCTCATCAGATGGGGGTGTCTGATGTTATTCAGTGAGGTTCAGATCTTGGAATTGGCGTGCTCGCTAATCGCTCAGTCCACCACCTGCAATGCATTAGCTTCAGGGATTCTCCGGATCCCAGGACTCAGGAAGGCTCCAGGAAGGGGCAGCTGAATGGCCTGCGCCCAGTTCACCTTCCCCTCGGCTCTGTGCGGTTCTTCAAGCCCCGTTTCTGGAGGGGGGGCATCAGATTTCCCAGGAGTTTCTTCCTGTCCAACTCGATCCAGCAGATTGGGCATGCAGCAGATCCCATCAGCCAAAGAGCCGATTGGCAGGAACAAGGGAGCTAAACCGCCCAGAGTCACTTCAAAACAAGATGGGCGGCAAATACATTTAATAAATGAACTAGAAAATGGGCTTTTTCTGCCGCTGTTCTGTGGAATATTCTCCCCTTGGGAGATTGGAGTGGCCCCAACTCTCCCTCTTGCCTTTCCACAAAGCTTTAGAAACCTGGCTCTGTATCTGGGCCTGGCCGGAGAGCGTGTGACGGGCCCAGTTTCTTGGCTTTACTGTTAGTTGATTAAGCACCACAGCTGCTCTTTGTACTCATTTATTGTTTTGATGCATTTGTTGTTTTAATGTTTTCTGTTTTTTGATTTTAGAATTGTAAGCCGCCCAGAATCATTGTTGAGTTGGGCGGCTATAGAAACCGAATGAATAAATAAAAAATTAACACCTGTCTCTCTCTGCTTTGAGAGGTTGAGGGAAGATGGACCATAGAGGCCATTCTGAGAGCTTCACCATATGCTGATTTAATTTATAGTTCTTCCCCCACTCACATTAAGTTTTCTTAACTTTCAGGTGGCTTTGAGGCTTTGAGTTTGAGGCTATTTTCCACCCAACTTCCATCCTGATGGAACAAGGTGAAAGAGACAGGTTCCAACTCAGCAAAGGAGAGATTTATTCAAACGATACACTGAATAAATTAAGGGAAGCCGGGATAGGAAGAGTGTGTTTTTAAAATTGGAGGAGGAAAGATCAATGACCTGTGCTAAGCTAATATATTACTCTGATGGGTGAAAATGCAAAGGATCTGCAAGCCGTAATAATAAAAGGAGCGTAGTGAAAAAAATGGAACTAAAATAAATTTAAAGAAGACCAAATGGATGAGAGCAGGTATAGACCAGCCTTAGAACCTATAATTAACAAATTGAGGAGGTGGAGAGCTTTGGCCTTTTAAACTCATCCAACCACAGGAAGGGAACAAGCAGTCAAGAAGACAAGCCATGTTCTAGCTAAGCCATGAACATAGGTCCCTTGTAATAGGTCGACAGGCGATGCCATTGCTACTGCCCTACATTCTGTAGTGAGTCATCTAGAGAAACCTGGGAACTACGTCAGAATGTTTTTCATAGACTACAGCGCGACTTTCAACACCATTTTGCAGGGCATTCTCATCAAAAAGTTGACTGACTTGAATTTCCCCTCTCTCCCCTGTGATTGGATTATTATTATTATTATTTATTTATTTATTGAATTTGTACACCGTCCTACTCCCGAAGGATTCAGGGCGGTGAACAGCCAAATAAAATACATATAATACAAATGTTAAAAAACCATTAAAATACAATTAAATAATTGGCCCGGAAAACGAAATTTAAAACACCCCAAATTCATAAGACAAATTTTAAATTTTAAAAATTTTAAAAAACAGTTTAAAAGAGAGGTTAGGCCAGGCCAGCCTGCTGGAAAAGAAATGTTTTGATGGCACGGCAGAAAGCGCGCAGGTCCGGGATCCTCCATATCTATGGGGGAGCTCGTTCCAGATGGCGGGTGCCCCCACAGAGAAGGCTCTCCCCCTGGGGGCCGCCAGTCGACACTGTTTGGCCGACGGCACCCTGAGGAGCCCCTCTCTATGGGAGTGTACTGATCGGTGAAAGGCTACTGGTGGCAGAAGGCGGTCTCGTAGATATCCCGGTCCTAAGCCATGGAGCGCTCTAAAGGTGGTAACCAAAACCTTGAAGCGCACCCAGAAGACCACCGGGAGTCCCGCAGGAGGGGGGGGTCACATGGGAGCACCCTGTCGCTCCCATAACCACCTGCGCGGCTGCATTCTGGACCAGCTGGAGCCTCCAGGTGCTCCTCAAGGGGAGCCCCATGTAGAGAGCATTGCAGTAGTCCAGGTGGGAAGTGACGAGGGCATGAGTGACCATATTTAACGAGTCCCAATCCAGAAAGGGACACAACTGGTGAATCAGGCGAACCTGATTAAACGACCTCCTGGCCACAGCCATCAAGTGCTCTTCTAAAGACAGCTGTGAGTCCAGGAGGACCCCCAGGTTGCGAGCCCTCTCCGTGGGGGCCAACGACTCACCCCCAATAGTCAGTGATGGCACCAACTGACTATATCGGGATGTCGGAAACCATAGCCACTCGGTCTTGGATGGGTTGAGCTTGAGTCTGTTCCTCCCCATCCAGATCCGTACAGCCTCCAGGCACCGGGACATCACTTCAAGGGCATCATTGGGGTGGTCCGGATTAAAGACTTTCTGACAGACCCGACCACAAACAGTGAGGACTGGGTCTTTTACATCCTCCTCCCTGAAGTTCAGCACTGGCTCTCCTCAGGGCTGTGTGCTCAGTCCTTACCTGTACTCGTTGTACACATACGACTGCATATCTTTTGATCCATCTAATACGATAATAAAATTTGCAGATGGTATACCACTGTGCTGGGTCTTATCACAGGAGGAGACGAATTAGCATACAGGGAAGAAGTCCAGGAGTTATCCACATGATGCTCAGAAAACAACTTGCATCTAAACACCAGCAAGACAAAGGAGATGGTGCTAGACTTCCGGAAGCAGAGAGAGGAACCTGCCCCACTCCACATCAAGGGGGGCTGTGTGGAGAGGGTCTCTTCTTTCAAATTCCTGGGAGTCCAAGATCTCACCTGCAAAAATAACACGTTCCAGGTGCTCAGGAAGGCTCAACAGAGACTCCACTTGCGAAGGGTCTTGTGGAAAGATCAGGTAGAATGACGACTGATGACTTCCTTCTACCAGACTACGATAGAAAGTTGTCCTCACATATTGTGTAGTTACGGTGTGGTATGCTGGCCTGACAGCCGTGGACAGAAAGGCATTACAGAGGGTGATGAGCACAGCACAAAGAATGATGGGCTGTCCCCTGACCTCACTGGACGAAATCGCCAGGACCCGCTGCCTTAGCAGAGTGAGGAAAATCCTCAGGGACGATTCACACCCTGGTCAGCACTTCTTTACTCTCCTACCATCGGGCAGCAGATATAGAAGCCTAGCCAGCCAAACGAAGAGGCTGAAGAATAGCTTTTATCCGGGGGCCGTCAGACTTCTGAACGCAACATAACACCACCATTAGGTTTAATAAGGTAGACTTGCAGGGCCAGCGCAACGAGCAACATGTTCATACTGGTGTAATAGACAACTCAATGGTCTAAAGGGAACACAAGCAGAAGACATCCGAGATCTGAATGAATGAAATAGCCTTATTAAATAGCCTTATTAAATGTGTGCCAGTTATTACTTATTTCGGTTTAGGGATTTCTTTTTCTTTTATTTATTGAGTTATTGAGATGTATTCTGTGTTTCAGGGGGGGCTGCACCAAGGGAGGCTCATTCAATCTCATTGTGCACATGTTGTGCATTGACAATAAAGGTTTGATTTGATTGATTTGATTTGATTTGATTTGATTTGAACAGAGTGCGCCACTTCTGCTGCCCCCCTGGGGGGCCACTTTGGGGAGGAGGTGAAACAGGGCTGGAGCTGCTCTAAGGAATCCATCTTGTCCCTTAATTCCCCCTTCAACTCCAAAGATGCAGAAGAGAAGCTGCACGGCCCACTTGGTGAATGCTGCAGCCAGAGACCCACGGAGAGGCTAAGAGGAAGGTGATCCACCCCACATGCCAGGGCTAAAGACACAGGCCAATGCGCTAATTGTCGGCACCTGTAGGAGCGCAGCTTCCCCCCCCCCCATGCCTTCAAATAACCTGGGAAGGTGCGTCCCATGACCAGGCTAGGTGACTTTCTTGGGCCTGGAGGGTCCCACACAGGCGCAGCCCCACCCAATGAAAGGATCCACCAAGCAGTCGACCACGCCCGGGAGACAACTTCACCAAGAGTTCTGGGAGGGGGCAACGCTGGTGCCTCAAGCCCTCCTGTGGTCACCGGCGGGGGGGGGGGCACCACGCAGGTTACAACCCTCCCGCCCCAAGATGCATAAGAGAAGGCTGGGTAGGCGGCAGGCGCAGAGCTCCTGTTCAGGTTGGGGCACGGAGCGTCGAGGATCAGCCGGAATTCATTTGCAGGTAACGTGCAGCTCCGCAGCTCCCGCCTTGGCCAGGTAAACAGCACCTGTGTCAACACCGGCCGCGCGCTTCCGCTGTCCCGAGCAAACAGGACGTGCCTGGCAGGGCGGCCGCTGCTGGGAAACTCTCCTGCCTGACGGAAGGCCCCGGCAGCTGCGGCTGCTCTTAGCCCCCCCACCCCCAAAAGAGAGAGGCAGGGGCGCCTCTGCGCGGGGACGGGGTGGGTTGGCTAACCTCCGGATCCCGCCAAGCTGCCTTCTGCCTCGGGGTTTCCCCGCAGTCCCCAAGCACTCTGCGCAGGGCCCGCCCCCGAAGCCCCGGGCCCCGGCCCGCCCTGCCCCGACGAGCCGGCCCTGGGAGGAGGGCTCCGTCCGCCACGCCTCCGCCACTCAGCTCAGCCGCCCGTCCCCCGAGCAGGGCCAGCGAGCGCCGGTCGCCGTCAGGGGGCGCTCCGCCGGGACTCGCGGACGGCGCTGCTCAGAATCCGCTGCGGCTCCCGGAGTAGGCAGAGGAAGCCGGCGGGTCCCCTACGGGGCTGCGCTCGCTGCGGCGACCCCGTCGGGATGGACGGCCGGCGTGGCGGGAGCTGAGCGTCGCTCATGGACGGGCAGACGGAGCCTGCCGCGATGGAGGAGGCGCGGCTGCTCAACGCGTCGCTGCTCTGCCGGCCAGAGAACGGCTCCTCGCACAGCTCCTGGAACGGCACCGGCGGCGGCGGCTGCGAGGCTTCCCGCAGGTCCGGAGGTGAGGCTCCCCGCAGCCCCGGTCAGTTCCGCGCCCTCGAGGCAGCGCTGAGAAGCCCACCGCTCGTCCCCTCCTCTGGCAGCTGGCCGGCCCCGACAGGCTTCCGCGGTGGGCAGCAGCACCCGCCTCTCTCTTGGCCGCCCCGGTTCTGCTCTGCCCACTCGTCGAAGTGTCTCTGCGCATATGAAGAGCGCCGCCTCTCCCCCCCCCCTTTATCCGGGAATCGCGGGCCCGTCGGCCGCTGCGGATGGGCCCTCTGGCGCCGGGGAAGGGTTGGGGGCGGCCGAGAGGGGCAGCTCTGGACTCGCCGAGCTCCTGCCTGACGCTGCGGCTGACCCGAGACCTTTGGTGAACTGGGTTCTGACGTGCCCCGTGCCCGAACCGAGATGCCAGTCCCAGAGGAAGCCCGGCTGCTGCCAGCCAGGGCACAGACCGGCCTCCCTCTTAGCCCCCGAGCTTCTCCCCAGTCTGGGGCCTTTCGGGGGTCCCCCAAAGCCGAACAAGCAGGGAAGCCTTGGGTGTAAAAGGTCCTGAACCTGGACCATGCCTGCCTCTCTCCCCACCCTCCGCTCTGCTTTCCATGGGTCCCTGCCTACCAGCATGCCTGGAGCAAGGCCTGGGGGCCACAGGTGGCAGGAGGGCAAGGCCAGGCACAAGACCCAGCTTCCTGCCTGGGGGGCAGGGGGGAAGGCACAGGCCAGATCTCCTTTCAGGGGTGGTCCTGGCCCAGGCTCTACCAGGGAGGAAGGGAGGCTTCCTGCTGGGTCGGCCTCTGCCCCCAGTGGGCACCCAGCCTGGCCCTCTGACCCTGCTCTGCCCCCCAGAGCTGGCCCTGGCAGTGCGGGTGCTGCTCTACTCGGTCATCTTCCTGCTGGGCCTGTGTGGGAACGCGCTGGTCATCGCGGTGCTGGCAGGCAACAAGCGTCTTCGGACCATCACCAACTCCTTCCTGCTCTCGCTGGCGCTGAGTGACCTGATGGTGGCGCTCTTCTGCCTGCCCTTCACCTTCATCCCCAACCTGATGGACAACTTCATCTTCGGGAGGGTCGTCTGCAAGGCCGTGGCCTACCTGATGGGTGAGGGGGCTCGGCCTGTGTGGGTGGGGGGGGGGTGTTCTCGGGGTCCCCCTGCCCCCTTGCCTGGCAGCTGCCCTGAGGCTGCAGGGCCTGTGCCCCCTTCCCCCTCTCCCTGGGGGGGAAGAGCAGCAGGTGACCCGCCCGGTGCCACCTGACCTGCTCCCCTCCCCCGTCCCTCTCCCAGGGGTGTCGGTGAGTGTCTCCACCTTCAGCCTGGTGGCCATCGCCATCGAGCGCTACAGCGCCATCTGCAGGCCCTTGCAGTCCCGCGTGTGGCAGACCCGCTCCCATGCCTACCGGGTCATCGCCGCCACCTGGGTGCTCTCGGCGCTGCTGATGCTGCCCTACCCGGTTTACAGCACCACCCAGCCTATGCGCAACCAGCCCCACCACACCCAGTGCAGCCACAACTGGCCTGGGCACATCAGGCAGGCCTGGTAAGTGGGGGGGGCGGCAGACTGGACTGCGTGGGGGTAGAGCTGCCTCCAAGGGCTCCTCCATCTGCTTCCCCATAGCCCACGCTGCCTGGCCAGGAGGGCTGCTCTACTCCCCGTGGAGCCCCAGCTGGCCTTTGGAGGCAGCTCCTGGGGGCCTGGTCAGATTGGGCCCCCTTGGCATTGGGGCCATGAGCCGAGCAGGCAGACTCAGAGGAGAACTGCCAGGGGAGGCCCAGCCTTTGCCAGGGTCCCTTCTCTGGCCAAGCCCCGTTTAGGGCCAGCAAGGACCACGGCAGCCACCAGCAGCAGCCTTCAATGGTTGGGGACGAAGCCCTTCCGTCGTTTTTGCTTTTCATGCAGATCCAGCACCGGGGGTGGGGGTGGGGTTGATGGTTAGGTTGGAAGGTGCCTTAAGCTGCATTTCTTCCTCCTGAATGAGGAACCGAGCCTGTGTTTTAGGCTGGGTCGCCTCTGGCACCGTTTGGTCTGGCACCCCGTGGCCGATGTCCCTGCATCAACCCTGCAGTGTCTGGCATCCGTTAGGAGGTGGGGCAGCTTCTGCATTGAAACTGAAGGCTGCGACTTTGTACAAAATGTGATCTCTGTGTGTGTGTGTGTGTGTGTGTGTGTGTGTGTGTGTGTGTGTGTTGGCCTCAGGACCACCCTTAGCTCTGCACAGCCAGGAGCCAGAGGGAGGGGCTGGTGCTGGGGGTGGGCAGGATCTGAGCATTTATCCTGAGGTTTGCAAGGGCTTCCCACTCACATTCCTTGGGAAATGAGGCTGGGGGCAAGGAAAGGCAACAGTTATGGGCAAGGAGGACTTCACGTGCGAGATCCGGTTGTTTCGATCTCTTTGCATGGCTCTCTCAAGGGCCAGCGACACTCGGGATCCCGCCAGGAGGAGAGAGAAGCGGCAGGTGGCAGAGGAGGGTTTGGCCTGGGGAGAGGCACTGACTGACTGGTCAGGACTGGAATCTGACTGTCCTCTGAGCACAAAGCACTTTGAGGAGGGCGGGGGGGCTTCTCTGTCTCCTGGCTTTAGCATGTGCTTTTGATGTGCACCTGGGTGACGAGGGAGAATGACAGCAGAGGAGCCCAAATTGGACAAATGTCAACAGCCTGATCCACAGGATTTAAACATTCAGAAGGACGCAAGTCAAAGAGCTCTTTGACAGGCTGATGTCACCAGAGACGGTCTCACTGGGCTGGGCTCCATCTTCACCTCTTCTGGCCTTGAACCGTTCCCTCCTGAGGAAGGGCTCCCTTGGGGAGCTAGCCAGCCAGCCAGCCGTGGTGGTCTGGAGAGGGTGACCCCGTGGGCAGGGGCACCATTGGTGCTTGCCTGGGAGTGCCAGCAAGAGATGAAGATAGCCAAGCGTGGGAGACGTGTTAAGTGCGTGAAGCAAGAGGGGAGAGGGCTTGACCTCAGGTTCATCTTCCACCCACCTGGCTTTTGGGGGGTCCCAGCCTAGAAAAGACCCTGCACAAATCTTAGACCAGGCCCAGCAGTTCCTTTGGCACCACTTGCTAAGCCTGAAGGGTTTTAATCCAGGCTGTGTTTATCTAACATCTTCTGCAAATCCACCTTTTCCGTTGGTTTAGGACCACGTGTGTTACTACTTGGTGGCAGTGGTTCAGTTGGTGCAAATTAAGGGGGCTGTTGTGGCTCTCCCCTCCCTCCCTTCCTTCCTTCCTTCTCTGCTAGGTACCTGTTGCTGCTCATCATACTCTTCCTTGTCCCGGGACTGGTCATGATCGTGGCTTATGGATTGATCTCCTCCGAGCTCTACAGGGGGATCCAGTTTGAGATGGATCTCTCCCGTGAGGCCAAAGGTGGGTATCAGGTGAAGGAGGCTGGAAACAGGTTCCCTTTGGGGTGATCTCTGGGTGCCATGAGAAAGCAAGGATCTGGAGGATGGGGGTCTGGAGGATGAATCTCAAGTTGGAGAAGGTTGCCCTCATCCTTAAACGGACTTATGCCTGCGATGGAACCTGCCATCATGGAAATAGCCATCATGGGGCAGACCCAAGTTTATGACCTTTTTTCGGTTGTAACCGAATGTGGCGGCCACTGTGGTCAAAAGGGGCACTGGAGTTATTTAATAAAACACTGGACAGCCACCTGTCTGTCTCAAATGGTCTGGGGTCTCCTGCTTGAGCAGGGGGTTCCCTGCAAGGTCTTCCAATTCTGTTATCCTGTTTCTGTTCTGTTTGGCAAGCTGAGGCATTTTATTGGGCAAAGCAGCAGGAATTGTGCACCTGGGCTGAGGATAGATACCAGTTTAGATGATCGTGGGGATCTAGTAGATATAATATACCTTTATTTCAACGCAGCTTTCAGCCTAGCTTCTCAATTTTGTAGGCAAGCAAAAATAAAGGTCGGGTCCAAGGAAAGGCTGTGAGGTGGACCCATAGCTTAGCTGAACAATTGCACACAGCCGACATTGCTTTCAGGTCCCATCCTGCTGTGCCCTTTTATAAACAGCTTAGATAAACCCATAAAGTGACCCCCATCAAATCTGAGGCCGCTGTGGGACCAAATCCTTATAAAAAAAGCAAATCCGGATCCGCTTCAAGGTGCTGGTATTGGCCTATAAAGCCCTACATGGCTGAGGTCCGGGGAATTTGCAGGACCATCTCCTGCCTGTTTCCCACCGTCCTGTCCGCTCCCATAGGGTTGCTCTCCTCAGGGTACCATCGACCAGGCAATGCCGTCTGGCGACGCCCAGGGGAAGGGCGTTCTCTGTGGGCGCCCCTACCCTCTGGAACAACCTACCCACCGACAGCCCTGGATCTCCGCTCCTTCCGTCGAGGCCTGAAGACTTGGTTATTCCAACAAATGGGCTGATTCTGATCCTTGGTTTTTAGTATTTATTATTTTAATCTGGTTTTAGTGGGTTTTTATTATTGTATGTTTTTAATTCTGTGTTCGCCGCCCTGAGTCCTTCAGGAGAAGGGCGGCATATAAATTCTGTAAAATAAAGAAATAAATAAAATAAAATCAATCTATCAATCAATATTTAAGCCATTCTTGGCAGGTTTGATTGCTGGACCAAAACTGAGGAGATAAAATTCAGGACATAAAAAGCGAATGCTTCCATTTATGCTCAACCAACCCCCCCCCCCCAAAAAGCTCAAAACTCCAGCCTTTTTGGCAGCAGTAAGTGAAAAATGACTCTTAAGTGGGTCACAAATGGCATGTCAATTGCGGAGAGCAACATTCAAAGCAGCCCCTGGAGGGTCCGGCTGCATGAACAGGACTGAATAGGAGGCGAGAAGGAGAAGCCGCTTGCTCTGCCTTCAGGGTGCCAAGGAGGCAAATGGGGGTGTCATTCTCCATAACACAGACAAGGATGGTGGAGCCGCTGCTCCTCTTGGGGTGCAGTCCCAGAAACCTCCCGGGCTCCCCCTTGTCCTGGGACAGCCAGCTCGGCCTCCCTGCTCAGCCTCTCCTGCTCTTGCAGGAGTGGGAGAGGGTCCCTGTTCAGGTGTCTGCTCCCTCCCCAGCAACCACCATTTGGCCCCCTTTCCTAGAGCACCCCCAAACAGAATCACGGGCACTGCCAGCAGGGAAAGATTGCGGGCACTGAATGTCAGGAGGATACGGTGTTCTGCTTGCCCCCCTTCTGACGGGCACCCTAGGCCCAATCCCCCCAAAGGCTCCGAGGAGCCGAGCATCCCCCACAAGGCGCCTCTCTGTCTCTGCCTCCCTCAGGTCAGCAGAACGGGGCCACCATGGAGCTCCTGGCCTCCTGCGACGAGGGCGACGGCTGCTACGTCCAGGTGCCCTGGCCCACCGAGAGCCCGATGGAGCTGCCGGCCTTGAGCCCGGAGGACGGTGCCAAGCAGGAGCGGGCACGTGTCAACAGCTCAGAGGCCAAGCTGCTGGCCAAGAAGCGGGTCATCCGGATGCTGGTGGTGATCGTGGCACTCTTCTTTGGGTGCTGGCTGCCCATCTTCATGGCCAACACCTGGCAGGCTTTCTACCCCAAGGCCGCCCAGCGCGCCCTCTCAGGAACCCCCATCTCCTTCATCCACCTGCTGTGCTACTGCTCCACCTGCGTCAACCCCTTCATCTACTGCTTCACGAACAAGCGTTTCCGCCAGGCCTTCGCCACCACGTTCGCCTGCCGCGCCATGCCCTGCTGGTCCCGGCCACGCCGTGCCCCCGAGGAGGAGGCCACTGCCACCAGGACCTCCTTCTCCAAGTTCAGCTACACCACAGTCAGCAGCATAGCCCCACCCGAGCACTGAGGCTCTCCTGCCCGGCCCCACGTCCAGGAGGCCCTCAGGGCCATGCCTGGGCCAAACCCCACGGCCTTTCCTTCCTCCCCTGCCTGCCTGCCCCTTGCCAACCCCAGGCTGAGGAGGAGATTCCATGGGCCCAAAAACCTAGGAGGGAGCAGGTCTGTTGAGGGGGGGGAGGTTAATGGGTGGACAAAGCTGTTTTCTTGCCTATCTCCCTGGCCCTCTCCCGTACAGACACCCCTTCTCTTCCCTGGGAATCACCCCTGCTCTGAAGGTATTAATTGCTATGCTGCATTCCCCCCCCCCAATTCCCCAACTGAGGGGTGTAAAATTGGAGAGGGGGTCCAGCTTGTGGAGTCCAGCAAGGCCTCAGTGCTGCCCGGGGCAAGAGGTGAAGCTGAATCAACCATGAGTTCCACAGGTTGGGGGAGTTAACAGCCCCATAACCACTGGCCTGCCTCACAGGGCTGTTGTCGCCAATCTGGAGAAGGAGCAGCAATGTCTTTGCCTCGAGGATTTCCTCTCCCCCAGCCCTCCTTCCTGGACACCCCTTCACACCTGCTTTGAATAGCTGTGTGCCACTGCCTCTACCCCGCCCCCCAACTGAGGAGTCTGGCTAGGGATTCTGGGGGTCCCTCTGTTCACCAGTGGTAGAACCCCTCATGTCAGTTTGGAGAGGGCGAATGGGGGCCTTTTCTGTAGCTTTCTGTGCAATAAAATTCTTGAAATGGCACTGCTGCCAACGCAGATGGAACCGGCTGATCTGGGTCTCTGGCACAGACTGAGCCTGGGGGGAGGGGGCTCCCTTGTGTCCTCCCCTCCCCCACTTACTCCCCTCCTTCTGCACTGTTGCTTGCAAACACTCACTGCCAGTGTCTGAGTCACCCTGTTGCAGAGGGACAGGAGAAAAAGCAGGGCCCCACTCCCTGCACGCCCACAGGCTCCCTCCCCCCAAGCCTAGAAGATGGAGCTGCTTCTCCTGGCCAGTGCCAAGGCCCTGTGGGGGGGCAGCCCTCGGCCACAAGGCTGCCCGACCAAATCCCCCAAGGCCAAGAAGGGCAGATCGAGGGGGCTGCCACCACCTGCTATCATCCCCCCCCCGCCCTTTGGAAGAGAGACGCCGGGGGCAGAAGGTGGCCGGCTCCAGTGCTGGAGCCCAGTGCCCCCCCTCCCCCTCTGGGTGGGCGCATTGAATCGGCCTTGTTGGGCTGGTAGCCACGGAAGGTAAGCAGCCTGAAGAAAGAGGCGGTGGTCGGGAAGGAAGCAGGGCTAGGGCTGCTAAAGGAGGGGAAATTGCCCGCAGTGGGTTTGTCTACGACCAGGCATTGCCTGTTAACTGGCCTGGCTGTGGCCGCTTCAGGGGGCACATAAGGAAGCTGGTTCACCAGGTAGAGCAGTTCAGAAGAGGAGGCAAAGGGGGGGGCTCTTTGACTCCAGCAGAGAAGGAGGGAGATGGAATCAGCAGTGCCAGGTTTATTTCCCCTTCTGAAGATGACAGGAATTGTGCACAGATGGCACCAATGCAGCCTGACATGCCCACCCCACTGCTGGCAAAGCGACGGTGAAGGGCCAGAGGCAAAACCTTAGATGCAGGGAGGAAAGAAGGACCCAGAGGCTGGGGATGATGGGGTTGGAGCAGTAGTGGAATTCAATTTTTTTTTACAACCAGTTCTGTGGGCATGCCTTGGTGGGCATGATGTGGCTTGGTGGGCGTGGCAGGGGAAGGATACTGCAAAATCTCCATTCCCACCCCACTCTGGGGCCAGCCAGAGGTGGTATTCGCTGATTCTCTGAACTACTCAAAATTTCCGCTACCGGTTCTCCAGAACCTGCTAAATAGCACCTCTGGGTTGGAGGCTCCCTCCTGGCAGCTATCACTCAGGCAGTCTATCAGGTGAGGTGCCTGCCTTCCTGGGCATCCAGCAGAGGTGGTATTCAGCCAGTTCGTGCGAACCATTGGTGGAAATTTGCCCAAGGTCGCCAAACCGGTAGCGATGGCCAGCTGGCCACACCCCTGAACTGTCCCCGGTCCCCCGATTGCCGCTCGCTCGCCCCACCTGGCATATTCATCGCCGCCGTGTTCTTCATGCACGCGCATCCCATTGCCTTGCAAGTCCAATGGGCTGTGCATGTGCAAAGAACATGGCAGTGATGGCAGCAGCTTTTTCTGTGACCTCTGGTATTTTTCGATGGCCTGCGGCCAGCCACCACCACCACCTCTTTAACAGCCGCTTTCCAGCAGCGGTGGCTGGCTGGGGGCCGCCGAAAAGCCTGTTCAGGTTGCCTTCCGGCCTCTGGACCAGCCGCCATGGAAGGTAAGCAGCCTGAACAAAGAGGCGGTGGTCGGGAAGGAAGCAGGGCTAGGGCCGGGGCCGCTAAAGGAGGGGAAACGGGGGTGACTGGCAAAGGGAGGGTGGGGGTAGATAGGTGGAAATTCCAAAAATTTTCCTACCTTCTCCTGTGGGCGTGGCTTGGTGGTGGGGTCATGTGACTGAATGGGCATGGGCGTGAATGATGTCAAGTTGGCCACGCCCACTCAGTCACATGCCCCCCCACCCACCTAGCCACGCCCACTGAACCGGTAGCGAAAATTTTTGAAACCCACCACTGGCATCCAGCTGTCATTTGACAGAAGGGAGTGGCCCTTTCCTGCTGATCCTCCCAGGAACAGACATTGCAAGAGCACTGAAGGGCTGGGCGGGAGGAAAGCCTGGAGAGATGGGGGCATTTGGAAAGGAAGGGGGAGGGGGAGGAGTCCTGACGGTGAAGAGCAGAGGGGAGGGCAGCCCTTGGCAAGGAAGGGATTAAGCTGAATCCTGTAGTGGAGGGAGAAGACCAAGTCTGGGGCTGTGTTTTGAGTGGTGGGACGGGTGGAGGCATCCAGAGACAGGCCTGTAAATACAGGACAAGAACAGTCCAGCTGCGTGCCCCAGGGATGCCGAACTCTCTACACAAGTGCATAGGAGGGGAAGCAAAAGAGAAATGTCAGTGCAGAGAGGCAAACACAATTTCGTATTCCTGAAGCACAAGGGTTAGAGGGCAGAATTTACTCAGAAATGAGGTAACATAACTGGTGTGAATCTGGGCTTGCTCCCTGTTTATAGCCCATAGCTTGCCCTGCCAGTGTTGGTGGCGTGTGGTCTTCTCCTTGGCAGTTCCTTGATTACAGTGTTTTCTGCGTGATTGTTTGTCTGGAGTTAATCCCTGCTTATTTGGTGGTTGTTTGGAGAAATGTTTTCTAGTATTTTTGTTTTCTTCATAGCTTTTTACTGACCTTTTGACTGGGGTGTAAATATGGTTTATGTGTCTATTAATGGCTGATGCGTCTGAGTTCTGAGCCTCCAGAAACTCCCAAGCATTTTTGTCCATGTGTTATAAAATTAAGGAGTTTAATCATCCTTAATCTCATTCATCATCTTTAATCTCTTTCATCATCCTTAATCTCACAACAGACAGACACAGCCAACCAGAGTTTCAGCCAGTAAACTGTGAGCATCCTAGACCATGCAAAATCCAGACATGCTAAGAAGATATTCTTGTTTCTTGCCAGAACGCATCCTCTCCACACTCACCAGCACTGATGATGTTCCCTAGTTGGGTAATGAAATGTCTGCAGGAAAACAACCAAGTTGAGAGAGCACCAAGGACCCCTCAGTTGTCGTCCTCCTCCTCCTCCTCCTCCCTACTCACCCAAGAGGATGAGGTGTTATGTACTAGGGGGAAAGGGAGGAGGCAGCGCCCGCTGCTGTATGAAGCTGAACCGAGGGTCTGGCTCTTGTTTTAAAAAGGCTGATACCAGTCAGGATTCAGGCCAGAGCATGAGATGGAAGCGGCATTAATTATCCATGGGGTGATTTAGGGCAGGCGTGGGTGGGCAGCGCAGCCCTTTCCCCTCTGGTGGAACTCACAGCCACCCTCAGTCCTGGTGGCCTTCTGGGCTGCCTTCAGGAGTTTGGGGGGCCGGGAGCAGTTTTTAGTTCCAGCTGGGCAGAGAAGAGTTTGAGCCTTTGGCAGTGCCAGGGGGTGCGGGGTGGGGGGGTCTGGCCTCCCCTCATCTCTTTTCAGCAATACGTGAAGCTGCTGGGAAAGGCCATTGCTTGGCTTCAGTTGAGGCCCCAGTCCTGGAATGAGAGAGAGGCTGGCTACTCCTCCCCTTGTCTCCCCTCTTTTGGACGACTTCACTTCACTCTGGACTGACCCTGAACGTTTCCCCAAGCAGCTATGATGGGTGCAAAATGCAGGTGCTCCCCCTGCTGGCTGCCAGAGGACAGCACGGACTGGATGAAGGACCAGAGAGGACCAACCCAGCCTTCGCGGGAATGCTCATGGAGCTCCACATCTCTTGGACGCCATGACCGTTTCTTGTGCAGGTGAACCGAAGCATTTCCCAAAATATCTGGATGGCCCTGACTTGCTGGCTTTTCCTAAGGCGATCATGACCTGGTGGCTCCCTCAGGCCTTTGGGCCTCAGGGTTCCGTGTCCAGTGGCTTGAGTTGCCCTTGCTACAAATAGGCCGTGGCATATGATTGGTTGGTTGTGGTTGCGATTCCTTCTTCAATTAATTGAGTAGTGTTGTTGTTTTTTGGCTTCAATTAGAGTTGCCATAGCAAGATGGCAGCCGTACTCATCGCTGAATTAAATAAAATGCATAAAAATAAGTCAGAAATCCCTATTCATGAAAAAGATATAAGTGGGGAAAGGAGGAATTAAAGCCAAATTCACCCAGGGCAGGCCTGGATGAGAGAGAGAGAGAGAGAGAGGCTCGGAGGGTTACCTAGAGGAAGCGAGACCTCCTGGGTTTCAGGCAGAGACCCTCCCAGATGACAGGGGCCACTCCAGAGAACCCCTGTCCCCCAGGGACACCAGCTGGCCCTCTGCCAATCACAGCAGGAACATTGGACCAGGAATGTAGTAATGAAAGCAGCTCATCAAATGCCTGGATCCAGATTCTGTTCTGGGCAAACCTCCTGTGGGGTACTGAATCCACTTCTGGGTGGGTGGTTCAGAAAGGACAGTTACGAACTGGAGCAGGTGCAGAGGAAGGATCCCAAGACCTACGACATACAGGATCTGGAGACATTTACCCCACAGAAGAAACAATTGCCTGGAGACATGATGTCAGCCCTACAAGGTCAACCTGACCAGAGAATGCCTTCTAATCCAGGGCTTTATTTTATATAAAGCTATGGTAACAGATTCTTGCATGCTGAATGTGCTTCATTTTGTGTGAACCAGGGAGGGCTTCCCTGAGATGATTCCATACCTTATCCTTGGCCTGGGCTCGGGGTCCTCTTATCTGACCATTGCTATGGTAGCGAATCTTCCTCCTGGCCCTCCAGGCCAGCCCCTCCCTCCACATTTTACATAAGATGGTACATAAGATAGCCAAAATGTAGAGAATAGGGAGCGGCTTCTCCTTCCTTGTTCCAGAAAGGAAGAGCAGAACTGGCCAGTTGAAACCACAGGAAAAGAGGCTTGGTTTGGACGACACCAGGAAATTCCTGAGTTGTCAACCTGTGGAACAGGCACTTACAGGAAGACCGAGTTCTCCCCCGAAGTCTTCAGAGCCTTTTTAGAAGATCCTGCACTGAGGATGACTTCAGGATCCAGATCTAGGATTCTACCATCTCGGGGGGGGGCGCGGGGGGGCTTCCTTCAGTTTCTGGACTAGGCTCTGCAGGGCTGGAGAAAGTGCTTGGGGGTTTCAAGAGCTTCTGATGACACTCAGCTGTACATCTCCACCCCGGACCACC